AATACTCTCCCCATCTCAAGATCCTTAACTTAACCACATCTGTAATGTCTTTTGCTATGTAAGGTACCATATGAACAGGTTCCAGAGACTGGCTCATTGATAGCAGCTTTAGGGGCCATGATTCTGCTATCATGATATGCTAGATATAGCCCATATAAGCCAAGCTCTTTGGGATCCTCAATAACTTTTAAGAATGTAAAAGTGTCTTAAAAACTAAAATATTTGTGAGTCACTACTGTAGCATATGAACAGATTAAGTCATTATTAGGCAGGAAAAGTAAAACTCAGAAAAACTAAGTGGTTAACCAGAGTCACACAGACTAAAGAGACCTTCAACTTGAAACCCAGTGGTCTGCTACCAATGAACTTAACATGGCTCCCTCTGCACGATGCTGCCAACCCCTGAACACCATGACTACAGCAGAGGAAAATGGAAATCATTTCACGGGCATTTTTGCACACAACAAATAAAGAGTACAACAATAAGCACTCAGAGATGAATTTGCTGAGCAGGAAGAAGGACAAGTTGGAGAGGAAGGTGTTTAAAATAATCTTAAATTTTCAAGCCCTTATTTAGAAATATACCAATTTATTACCTTGTGAGAGAGATGAGGACAATGTTACAAATGGTGACATGTTCCAGAACCAAGGCAGAGAGATAAGAACCCCATCTCACTCTACAGCAACATGACAAGGACTGAAGCTCTGAGACACAGGAAGCACACACAGCAAAGCACTGCTCTGGGTAGATGACAGGGCCTGGTGGCCAAAGGCAGATTCATGACCACTCATTTTAACAAGGGTATCTGAAAGAATGCATTCCTGGGCTGTCTCTCTGACCAGAATCACAACTTCATGGTAGCAAAGAAATTGCACTCAGGTGAACTCCATTAAAATCAGGCATCTAAAGATCCAAATCACAATCTTCAAAGAGACACATAAAAAAAAAAAAGAGAGAGAGAGAGAGAGGAGAATAGAAAGATTCTCAGAGGGCCAGCTCCTGCTCTGCCTAATAAACTGCCTGGCCAAGGCCAAAAGAACCAGAGCAGAGGTGATCAGACTCTCCCCTCCCTATCCAAGCAATGCATACAGGTGAATGATGGCTCCCTGGAGAAGCTGCTCCAGTTCTGTGCCTTGCTTTCCCAGCTCCCTGCTTGGAGCCTCTGGAGTGCTCAGCTAACAACCATTTTGAAAGCAAAACCCAGCAGGAATGCCTGATCTGACAGCCAACAAAAACCCAGGAATAAAAGGACACAGATGCAAGGAACCACCATCAGTAGAATGTGCTCTCTAAAAGAGGAAAAGTCACAGAACTTTTTGGTATTTTATTTTTTTCAATGTGAAAGCCTAGGGCCAATACCAGGCCATCTTCAAAACACCTCTAGTCACAGAGCTCAGCATTTCCTAGAAATGTTTATAGCACTTGCTTTCCTAATATTACACTAGTGTTATAAACTTCATACCTATAACCTACAAAGCATAAAGACTTTGCAAATTAGAGACATGACTAATGTATCTCTTTCATCATGGAATCCACACACACCTGTGTGGTCGCCTTTATGTGATATTCTGCTGCAGAATAAATTTTAAAACTACTAAATCAGCAATCTCACCTGACAATCATTTTGAAATTTTTCTTTCATATGCCAGAGCCCAGGGCAATTTAACATTCTATAGACCAAAACTTTCACACTGTGCCTATTAAAGGGATACATAATGTGAAGACATGTTCCTTGGAGATGATGCCTAATTCACAAAAGCAAACTTCTATTTTCTGCATTCCATGTGAAGAAGAAAAGATCCACAGGCAGAGAGTCACAAATGAATCTTTTATATCTAGGATTTTGGAGAGAACAAAAAATGACACTTTGACAGAAAATAGATTGGGAGACATAATAAATTTGTGCTGAATAAGTACTCTGTTATAATGAGTTATTCCAAGTTATTCCAAGAGTGATAATTCCAATTCCCAAGGGAGTAAATATTAAATAGAGTAACTAGAAAAAAAAAACCTGAGCAAAAGTTTAAGGACACAGTGTATGAATACAGATGTTGTTTAGGAAGTTTTCAAAGAGATTGCTATTTCAATATTTTCTTACACTTGGATGACATAAAGGAAATAATTTATTATTAAAAGTGTAAAATGTTTAAAGTAAACTAACAAAAAGCATGTAGAAAATACTGATTTTTAAAAAATCACTTGGGCACTCCTAATTCAGTAATTATGGTAGATTAGATATTTGCAGGTCTTTCTGCTATCCTATAATTAGATTCTGGATAAATTAATTTTAGAAACTTTTAATGCAATCATTAGTTCCAGGTAAAGAAACAAATCCCACAAGAATATGGCAAGAGCAGTGCACTAAAGCCTGAGCAAAGAGCACTAGGGAGTGAGCACAGAAGCTGCAGCTGCTCTGGAGGCCACTCTGAACACAGCAATGACAGGGACATCTAGATCTCTAGCATTTAGCAAGGTGAGAAAAGTCCAACCTGAAACCAGGATTCCATAGGAAACAAAAGTGGTCCTCAGTCCATAGCATCCTCCTGGTCCTAGTACAAATCAATACATAGCTCAAGTAATAACCTCAAGATTCTCAAAATATTAGCAATTAATCTAAACTCAACATGCACAGTAGAAAAGAAGCACAGACACAGATTTAGACCACCAGGGATTTAGATACCAGTATGATAAAAATTTAGGATATGGGGTTGGGGTTGTGGCTCAGTGGTAGAGCGCTTGCCTAGCATGTGTGAAGCACTAGGTTCGATTCTCAGCACCACATATAAATAAATAAAATAAAGGTCCATTGACAATTTAAAAAATTTAGGATATGATACAATTCCAACTCTATTGTTATTCAAATATATGAAACACGGAATAAAAAAATGGGCCAAGTAAAAAGAGACCACCATCAAAAATAAAGATTTAAAACAGAAATAGAGCCTTTAGAAATGAGAAAACATAATCATTAAAATTTAAAATTTAATGTATGGGCTAAATAGAAAATTCAATACAGTTGAAGAGAGAATTCTAGAACTAGAAGCCAAATCTTAAATATTACCCAGAACAAAGCAGAAATAAAACATCAAATAGAAAGACATGAAGAGTAAAAAGTTCTAACATCCATTTAATCAAAACCAGAAGGAGGAAATTGAGAGAGAATGGAGAAAATAGAAAATACTCAAAGACTAATAGCATGAGAAATTTTCAGAACTGATAAATGATACGAATCTGCAGATACACAAAACAGAGCAAATATAAAGCAGGATGAAAAACAGAAAACTATACATAAACATAATGTAATAAAACCACAAACTACCAAGACAAATAAACAATATTAGAATAAGATAAATCATCTACTAAAGAATGACAAAAAGACAACTAACAGATGCCCTAAGAGTAAAAATAAAAACCATATTAGCACAATGGAACAGGATGTTCACAATGCCAGGAAGAAGTAACTGTCACCTAAGAACTGTAAGAGTGAAATAAAGACATTACAGAAACCAAAACTGAGAAATATTACCACCAAGAGATTCCCAGGAAAAGAAATTCTGAAAAAGACATATCTAATCAGAATAAGGGTACAGATAGGAAAAGGGAAAAGAAGCAAGAAATGATAAACACATAAACAAATACCAACTTGAAACAATACCACTGTCTAATTTGCATGGTGAAACAATAGACCTGAAGTACTGAAGGAGTGAGTCTTTGTTAGTTGTCCTATGAGTTCTGTATTATCCTAGAAAGGAAACAGAATACCACATACTGAGGGACTTCTAAGCTGTCAAATGTGCACACAGTACTTTCAGGATAACCATTAGAAGAACAGAAATAAAATGTATCATTTCAAAGCCAGAAGAGAAAAAAGAAAATTGAATGAGAATGCAAATACACAAATCAACAAAAACCTCAATCCAAAAAAGATTAGCAATAAAAAACAGACCATATGCATGTAATTAAAACAAATTGTTAAACTATATTTCAAAAAAAAAAAAGCAAAACAAACTGCATTCATTGTACATAGAAGAAAAAAATTTATCTACCTTAAAAATCCTGAACTTTGTTCTTCAAAGAATATTTAAGAAAGATGCTCAGTCTATTAATCAAGAAAAACAAATTAAGAGACAATGATATACTGTCTACACCCACCAGGCTGGCAACAAAAATAACAAATGTTGCAGGGAAGTGGGACATCAGATAAACTGTGATAGAGTCTCTCAAAACCAAACTTTAACAACAACAACAAAAAAAAATTAACTAATTTATTACTATTGCATGCAACAAGTAAATCTCACAACACAACTGAATGAAAAATGCAAGTTGCACAACATATATCAAAAGACCAGTCTCACATTTAAAAAAATATATATATAAGAAATAGATTGTCTGGAGATACACACACACACACACACACACACACAGAGTAATCATGCTAGTATGGAAATCGGCGATGACACTATAAACACTACTTAGTTCAGCTGGCTCTTACATTCTAGGTCAAGCTCTTTATCTAATTCCATTTGGCACCCTGAGCAGCACCAGACTAGAATGGCCTTAGACTGCTCAGGTGCAAAGAAGGCAGCAGACTTGGTAAGTGCAAGCTTCCAGGTAAAACCTCAATCAAAAGCAATTCCATATAAAGGAACAGGACTGGCCCCAAATGATTAAAGGAACAGAACAGGCCTTTCTGTAACCTTTCCGTGGGGACTAAAACAGTCTCCTCTGCCCTTTGTTTATGTGTTCCTCCCACTCTAGCCTGCATTTCTCGTGTCCTCCAATGGGAGAGCTAGCTTCTGTAATTCTTTTCCCTACCTTCCCACAAATACTGCCATTCCCTAGCGGACTCTGCCCTAGGGCACCACAAAGGTCTAGAAGTTCCCTCTGTCCCTTCAGAGCCTTACATACAATCTCAAGGAAAAAAAAAAAAAAGAGAGAGAGAAGGGATTACAGACCCATGAGTATTTCTAGAATGAGTGAAATGCAGAATATAACTTACCTGCATCTCTTTCATACATCCTCTGGTAGCTCCAACTTCACTGTTCTTGATACTCAAAATCCACAACCTCCTCAGGCACAGAAGCTTTGCCTGGAAAAATAAAGGCAGGAAATGAGAAAGGAGGCAACCAACAGGAACCAAAGTATCCATGGGGAAAAGAAACTCATTTAATCAACCAAGTAAAAACTTGACCTTTAAGAAGAGAGATGTCCACCCAAATTAAGGAAAATCTCTAGCTTAGTCTAAGACATTTTCCATCTTTAACCAAAAATATTCACAGTAAATTAATATTTATAGAAGTCATGATTATTTACAAAGGGCCTTCACGTGCATTTTCTTATTGGAGGCTGAAGATCTTGGGAATATACAAGTATTATCTTCAAATGCAGAAGCTAAAGTTCCCAAAGGTCAAGGAACTGTCCCCTCACTACTCAGCTAATAAGTTAACAAAGAGGAAATCTTAGCTCAGCTCCATGATTCATCCTTCCCAAACTCTCCCACTACATGAATGGCATGACGGTTTCAACCTTCTTGCACTAGATATGCTTTCTTAGCCAACAGATACAGAAATGGTTTTGCTTGATAAGTGACAGAGACACTATCATAAAACTATTTATTTGCCATAGGCAGGCAAGGTCTTATGACCACACAAGAAAAGTCACACTGAGGTAGTAAAGCAACCCTTGTATCATTTCTACATACCTTCTTTTTTCCTCTTTAAGTCAGTTACATTTTTTTAATTTGGAAATAATTTTAAGCTCAGAAAAATTGTAAAATAATAATAGGACAAAGAATATCCATGTACTCTTTATCTGGATTCACCTACGAATCATTGAACCATTTACTTAATCATTCACTTCTCTCTCCACACCCATGTGAGTTTCTCCCCTGAGCCATATGACCATAAGTTTCAAACTTCATGGCCCTTTACCTCTACATACTTCAGAAATTATTTCCTAAGAATAATTATACTCTTACATAACCACAAGGTAGTGATCAACCTTGGTAAACTTGATATTGGTTAATATTTTAATCTACTGTCATGTTCAATTAACCTAAGAATGACCTTTATAGTATTTACTTCCCTCCAATCCAGGACCTAGTCCAGAGTCAGATATTGCACTAATTGCCATTCTTCTTTATCTTCCTTAAGTCTATAACACACAATGTTCCTGTGTCTTTTATAACATTGACACTTTAGAAGAATATAGCCTCTCTGCCTTTTATATTAATAGAACATTTCCATTTTGACTTGTCTGACGTTTCCTCAGGTGATTCCTGATGATTCAGTTCAGGTTATACTTTCTCAGCCAGAAAAACTAAAGAAGTGATATAATTCTCTGAATATCTCATCTGAATACAAAAAAAAAAAAAAAAGTCTACTTTGATCCCAAAGTATTCTCCAATTAAAACTTGTGGGAGATCAACCTTACACGTGACTGAGTCACACTCCCCAGCTGGGTGCTGAGGCGCTCAGTCACAGAAATGTGGCAGAGCTTTCCCCACCCTTCTTGGGTTCGAGGGTCAGTGTCTCGTGCATGGGTGTGTCTTGCTACAGCCCCATGGGTGAAGCTATGCTCACCTGTTCCTTTGTAATATAACCCCTTGCCCTGTTTAGGATAGAATCTTCCATGGAAGTGCCTTGTGTGTGTCCCCTTCTCTTACTGTGTTCTCGGGTGTAGCCTACCCAGGTGTCAGTCAACCTGCTGACAGTGGACATCATGAACATAGACTCAGCCCCCTGAAACCTGACCCCTTGCCTCATTTGAATAGCTTCTCCTCAATAAAAGGGGTCAGCGCGTGTGTGCTCGCTCTCGCGCTCTCTCTCTCTCTCTCTCTCTCTCTCTCTCTCTCTCTCTCTTCCTGCAGACCCTTAAGGTCAGAGGAGCCGTCACAGCGACCCCAAAGAAAAAGGTATTTGTGTCTCTTGTGTGGTTATTTCATGCAGCCCAGTCAGCCCAGTTCAACTGGAGTGACCTCTGAGCCTCTTAGTCGCGAGAACAGAAACCCGGCAAAAAATTACTACATTTTCTCTTGCAACTAATAAGTAATCTGTGGGGAAACACTTCAAGATCATGCAAATATCTTGTCCCAAATCAAAATCTCCCTAGATTAGCATCCATTGGTGATGTTTGCCTGACTTAAACTTTATAGTGTGATGGCTCCAATAGACTAACACCAATATCCCTAATGTCCTTAGTTATTTGGGAACTCAAACTGTCTCAGATTTAGCCAGTGGGAGCCCCTGCAAGCTGGCTTCTGTATTTTTGTGAGATGTTCCATTTTTTTTCCTCTTACTCTTAAATTTCCTTACTTTCTCACATTTAAAAATAAAAGTTTTGCATTCACCTTTTACCTATCCTGTCTCTGCCCTGCATGCAGTCACTTCTCCAAAAGCCCTGGGAACTTTCAGGGAAGAATGGTGCAAGAGACCAAGATCTGCTTTAACACTGTCCTACAGTCACTATTTCTACTGATTACATTTTGAATATGAATAATGTTTCTCTGCTTCTTTTCAATTTTAAGGTAGTCAATTAAGAGGGTTTCCATTTGATTCTGGCAGCAGTTCAATTATTGGTGGATCCTCTGGATGCTGTCAGGCTTGGTTCTCTTCTTGGTTAGATGGATCTGTTTCAGGGACGTCCTTGGTCCTCGCATATGGCCTTCCTCTAAGGTATGGTCCTTACTCCTAGGTTGTGGACTTTCTGATGTCTCAACAGAATGGGTAAGGTGCTCAGAAAGACCTCTCCACATTGGGTGAACCAAAACGTCAATCTCTCCCAGTTAACACAAGACCTCTTGCATCACCCATCTGTTCTCTACCTTGTACCAGCTGCTCTGTGCCAGGCACCACTCTGTGTAGGTCTCACCCCTCAGGTACTCCCTTCTCTCCACTACCCCGCTATACAAATTCCAGCCTCAACAGCACAGCTGAACTCCGAGATCCACCTTCTCAATTCCAGGAGACCACATGTTCTGCTAGGGCTCACCTCCCTGTATCTTGGCAGGGAACATGCACAAGTAGAAACCCTGGGCAGGCTTGAGTCCCCGTCATGGGGTTCTCTTCTTTCAAGGATTACAGTCCTGGCTGCCTGTTGTCCACTGCCAGTGGCCTCCTAGATGGATGGCCTGCCTTTGAGGTGTTTAGGGCAGGAAGGCAGGACCAACACCAGTTACCTTCTTTCTTCTCTTCAAGTCTTCAACATCAAGGCTATATTTGGGAAGGGTGAAGAATCAAACCCTTTCAGCATATAATAAATGCTCTCTGCTTAAGCATTTCAGAGAAATTCACTTTCTAACAATCTGTTCTTAGAAACATACAAGCTTCCTTTTACTACAGCACTGCAACATCAAAAACTCTCTCTAGCAGTGAGGCAGTGCCAGACAAGGTGACCAGGAAATGTCTCTTCCTTCCAGAAAGCCAACACTCACTTCGGTCAGTTGGCTATCACCAGGACATGCATTTACACTTCCAAACAGCACAGCAAGTTCATTACTCTTCTTCATTTTTCTTTTTTATATGCATGTATTCAAGATGAGGAGAAGACTCCTTTTCATTTATATTGTTTTCCATTTCTATTGCTAACCACCATTGAGAAAAATGATCAGAAAACAATAGTCAAAAAGAAAACGTTCAATTCCAGACACAAAGTTAATCAAAAGAAAACTGCCCAAAAAGAATCATAGTTGTATCACATGCTATGAGAAAATAAGATTTTCAATCACAGGGTGCTGGAGAACAGGTCTTTGCCTGCACAGGCCAGGAGATCTGCACCATGGCGGGCACACAGGTTCCCACAGGGAACACTTCTTCAGCAGATTTTTCTCCATATTAGAAATTTACACAGCAGGCTATCTAATTCACCTTCTCAAAAGGAGTCACTACATAACAGACCTTTCTTTAGTTTTATTTCATGTGCCCTTGAACTTAAAAGAAAGCATCCAATAGAAACACAGTGCTGGCCTGTCCTTTTGCCCTCCTCTGTCCGTCCTAACATTCTCCATCCTCTGGGAACTCTTGGGACATGGACTCATAGGTGTCCATGTCTCTTGTGGACCCTGTAGAATTCATTTCCACAAGTCAGTATGTGTCCAGTGCCATAATTTCTGATTCTTCTGTGGGTCGCCATTTCCCCAGAATTCAATGGGAGTCCCTGAGCTTGATAAAACAAGACTTCTCTGATCTGTGCCCCACCCCCTCTTCCATCTTGTCTCCCCATACTTCATGCCCTATGACTTGTGATAGGCTACAGCCTTCCTCATGAAGCAACCTCTTCCCTTTTTCCTCTTAGCTAACTCCTGGCCTGGTAACCACTTGGGTGTTTTTTGTGATCTGAGCAGTTAGTCCTGACCTTAACATTCTCATAGCCTGTGCTCACCTTTATTATAACTAACTGTACTGAGGACTTGCAGTGTGCTAAGCATGAATTATCTCATTTAGTCTCCCATGAACTCTGTAAAGTAGATGCCATCATTCCACTTTTCAGATAAGCTCAGGCAGGAAGTTTCCCAATGTCACACATCTGGGAAGTGGTACAGCCACAGGGCTGATAGGTTTTTGATGATCAACAGCATGAAATATATTTAGATGAAAAATAACAGCGAAATGGAGGAGTCAGGAAAAAGACTCAGAACTTCAGTGATAACCCCATGACAACACTAAAGGGTAAAAATAAAATATTGCTCTCCAGAATCCTTTAGAAACAGATACCAAGAAGATACCTGTAAACTAACATCAACTATAATGCTCATAATAAAGTATCAGCAAATTCTAAGAATCCACTAATATACACATGGTTCAAACAAACAAAAAAAAAGTGTTTAGAAATAGGGAAGGATATTCTTATTAGAACATGTGAGCATGCACATACACCAATGTACCAAAGATGAAGAAGAGTTCTTGGAGGAAAGAAACTGAAAAATATATGTAACTAAATCAATTCCATTCTCAAAAAGTTCTTATATGACACATAAGGGTAGCATGTCAACTCCTATATAAATTGGAAGTGTTAGTGAACAAGCAAAATCCTGTTGCAGCCCTTCAGAGCCCTGTATGTGACTAGATTAGAAGAAAGCCCATTCCTGTCTCC